ATTTTGTAGTTTATAGAAAATTTTCGAAATTTTGTATTTTATAGAAAATTTTCGAAATTTTGTATTTTTAATAGAACATTTTCGTAATTCTCGTATTTTTAATAGAACATTTTCGAAATGTTTGTATTTTTAATAGAACATTTTCGTAATTCTGGTATTTTTAATAGAACATTTTCGAAATTCTGGTATTTTTAATAGAACATTTTCGAAATTCTGGTATTTTGAATAAAAAATTTTCGAAATTCTGATATTTTTAATAGAAAATTTTCGAAATTCTGGTATTTTTAATAGAAAATTTTCAAAATTCTGGTATTTTTTATAGAAAATTTTCAAAATTCTGTTTTTTTTTTTTTTTTTTTGAAAATTTTCGATATTCTGGTATTTTTAATAGAACTTTTTCGAAAATCTGGTATTTTTAATAGAACATTTTCAAAATGTGCAGTTTTTAATAGAATTTTTTCGAATTTCTGGTATTTTTAATAGAAAATTGTCGAAATTCTTGCATTTTTAATAGAAAATTTTCGAATTTAGGTTTTTTAATAGAAAATGTTCGAAATTACGGTATTTTTAATAGAAAATTTTCAAAATTCTGGTATTTTTAATAAAATTTTTCAAAATTCTGTTTTTTTTTTTAAATTTTCGAAATTCTGGTATTTTTAATAGAACATTTTCAAAAGCTGCAGTTTTTAATAGAAAATTTTCGAATTTTTGGTATTTTTAATCGAAAATTTTCAAAATTCTGGTATTTTTATAGAACATGTTCGAAATTTAGGTATTTTTAATAGAATTTGTTCGAAATTCTGGAATTTTTTATAGAGCATGTTCGAAATTCTGGTATTTTTAATAGAACATTTTCGAAATCTTGCATTTTTAATAGAACATTTTCGAAATCTTCTATTTTTAATAGAAAATTTTCAAAATCTTGTATTTTTCGATATTCTGGTATTTTTAATAGAAAATTTTCGAATTTCTGGTATTTTTAATAGAAAATTTTCGAAATTCTGGTATTTTTAAAACGAAAATTTTTGAAATTTCGAAATTCTTGTATTTTTAATAGAAAATTTTCGAAATTCTGGTCTTTTTTTATAGAACATATTCGAAATTAAGGTATTTTTATTAGAAAATTTTCGAAATTCTGGTATTTTTTTTATAGAAAATTTTCTATTTTTAATAGAAAATTTTCGAAATTTTGTATTTTTAACAGAACATTTTCGAAATTCTGGTATTTGTAATAGAACATTTTCGAAATCTTGTATTTTAATAGAAAACTTTCGAAATCTTGTATTTTTAATAGAAAATTTTCGAAATCTTGTATTTTTCGATATTCTGGAATTTTTAATAGAACATTTTCGAAATTCTGGTATTTTTAATATAAAATTTTCGAAATTCTGGTATTTTTAATAGAAAATTGTCGAAATTCTTGCATTTTTAATAGAAAATTTTCGAAATTCTGGTAGTTTTTTTATAGAACATGTTCGAATAGAACAATTTCGAAAAATGTTCGAAATTATGGTATTTTTAATAGAAAATTTTCGAAATTGTTGTATTTTTAATAGGAAATTTTCAAAATTCCGGTATTTTTAATAGGAAATTTTCGAAATTCTGGTATTTTTAATAGAAAATTTTCGAAATTTTTTATAGAACATGTTCGAAATTTAGGTATTTTTATTAGAATTTGTTCGAAATTCGGGTATTTTTAATGGGAAATTTTCGAAACTCTGGTATTTTTAATAGATAATTTTTGAAATTCTGATATTTTTATTAGAATAGATTTTTATTTTATTTTTTAGAATTTAAAATTTTTCTTATTTTTAGAAAATTTAAAATTTTTTCTTTATACAAAATTTTTAAATTTTTTTTAATAGAAAATCTTTTATTTTTAATAGAAATTTTTTCGAAATATTGTATTTTTAATAGCAAATTTTTCAAAATTTTGTGTTTTAAAAAAATTTTAAAGATTTTGTATTTAAAAAAAATTGTAAAATTCTGTATTTTTGATACAAAATGTTTTTTTCCAAAAAAAAATTAATAGAAAATTCTAGATATTTTTTTATAATATTTTATATATAGTATACTTATTTTTATAGAAATATGTATCTAGAAATTTTTTATGGGTAGAAAATTTTTGGAATTTATTTTTATTGAAAATTTTCAAATTTTTATTTATTTTTATAGACCAAAAAAAAATTTCGATAACTTATTCTTAATGCAATTTATTGCCAAAAACTCTAAAATTCCAATTGGAATAGCCAATTGTGAATCGTTTTACACTGCAAAAACCTTTGCAGAAATCAGAAGAGACAAAGATGTGAAAGATAAAGGATCAGTGTTGCATATTAAGCTTTTAAATAACAAAAAATTTCGGCAAACTTTTTCGCCAAATAAAAAGCTTTTTTTAATATCACTAATTTAGCCACACCAAGGATGATCAATTAAAAATGGAGGAGTTGAATAAAAAAACTTAACTAAAAATGTATTAAATTTACTTCGAGAATATTCCTTTATAAAACTAAATTAAACTAAGAAATATCAAAATTAAAACAGGAAAAAAATTAAAATTTACTCCCACTTACTTGCTAGAGGGTTTTTGGCTATCGTTAATTCCTTCGAAGCTCATCATTTTGTTGCTGCTGTTGTTGGTTTTGTTTTAATAAATTTCACAATAAGATTTTATTTAAAAAAAGTTAGAACACTTTTGTCTTTTTATGGTTTATTTTAAAATATAAATACAACTTTTAAATGCACTTTATTGTTTCAATTACAATAAGAACCTTTTTTCTTGCAAATTTTCCTTTTTGTTCTTTTGCAGTCTGCTTGTTTTGCGATACACTTTTTACTTTAATGTACCGGTTTAGGAAAGTACTTTTTATTCTTAGTTTTTTTGGCAAATAATTATATTATTAAACACTTTTTCTTACAAGAACAAAAGCCAAATTTGTTGCACGACACAAAAATTAAATATTATTTCGGTTTTAAAAAAACTGCGAATATTTTACGGAACACAACACAACTTGTCACGACAGACGTTTGCGAAATAATGTTTTTTTCAAAGTGGTTAATGCCGCTTAAAAACGCATTTTAGTGATGGCACGTGCCAGAGCCCTGCGCCGACAAATATTAACGGCGGCGGCGGCTGACACTAAAAATATCGGCGGCGGCTTAAAATCGACTGTAAGCCGGCTAAGTTCTCATATACGCTTAATTTTAAAATTTTCAAAGATTTTAAATAATAACGGTATCCGAGAGATAAAAAAGTGGGACTTTGTATATAATTTATAACAATGAAATAGAGCAAGCACAAAAGTTGTGTGAGAAATTATGCAGGGATGGAAAAAAAAAAATTAAAAAATTAAAAAAAAAGAATTTAAAAATTGATTAATTCTTAAAAATTAAAAACAAATCCTTTATTTTTGCCGCATAGTGTAATCTATATAATAAAATTTTGAATAATCTAAATAACATTTTAATTTGTTTTTTTTTTAACTTTAATTTTTAATACGTAATTAAAAGCGCCTCTCAAAGACCTTTCACATTATATCAAAATTAATTATCACGTACGTGAAACATAAATAAAATAGGAAAAACTTTAAAAAGGTTCCTTTTTATTATTTGATCCTCAAAACGCATTTTAGTGATGGCACGTGCCGGTCGGGTAATCATTAACCATTACTATGGTTACTTAGCGCCCAAGAGTTAGGAATGGTAAACGAACGATTACTAGAAAGGGAAAGGTTGTCGTGGTGGATTTAGTAATTGCAGTAACAGCAGCTGCTAAAAAGTGCTGCCACACTGGGAAGAAAACTAACTAACTAACTAACTAACTAACTAACTAACTAACTAACTAACTAACTAACTACTAACTAACTAACTAACTAACTAACTAACTAACTAACTAACTAACTAACTAACTAACTAACTAACTAACTAACTAACTAACTAACTAACTAACTAACTACTAACTAACTAACTAACTAACTAACTAACTAACTAACTAACTAACTAACTAACTAACTAACTAACTAACTAACTAACTAACTAACTAACTAACTAACTAACTAACTAACTAACTAACTAACTAACTAACTAACTAACTAACTAACTAACTACTAACTAACTAACTAACTAACTAACTAACTAACTAACTAACTAACTAACTAACTAACTAACTAACTAACTACTAACTAACTAACTAACTAACTAACTAACTAACTAACTAACTAACTAACTAACTAACTAACTAACTAACTAACTAACTAACTAACTAACTAACTAACTAACTAACTAACTAACTAACTAACTAACTAACTAACTAACTAACTAACTAACTAACTAACTAACTAACTAACTAACTAACTAACTAACTAACTAACTAACTAACTAACTAACTAACTAACTAACTAACTAACTAACTAACTAACTAACTAACTAACTAACTAACTAACTAACTAACTAACTAACTACTAACTAACTAACTAACTAACTAACTAACTAACTAACTAACTAACTAACTAACTAACTAACTAACTAACTAACTAACTAACTAACTAACTAACTAACTAACTAACTAACCAACTAACTAACTAACTAACTAACTAACTTACTAACTAACTAACTAACTAACTAACTAACTAACTAACTAACTATGCATTTTATAGAAAACTATTTTAATTTTAAAAATTTGTATGTATTTAAAAATTTGTATTTCTTTTACAGAAAATTTAAAAAAATATTTATTTTACTGGAAATTTTGAAATTTTTTTATTGAAAAAAAAAAAAGTTCAAATTATTATGTTATATTCGTAAATTTTATGATTAATTTATTGAAATATATTGAGAATTAACAAAATATTCCTCATTTGAATCAAATAATAAAACGCAATTAAATGTCATTGTTTAAACGCAGCATAAATCGTGATACCATATTAAAAACTCTCAAACAATCTGGCACTTCTAACAACAATACCGTCTACATGGCAACCACTAACAAACGAATTAAAAAAAGTATTCGAACCAAAGCGAAAACAACTCGTTACCCAATAAAGTAAATATTTTGATAATTTAGCAAACGTTTAGCCAGTAAAAATGCAATATTTAAGAAATATTTTACTTTAAAAATATAAAATTGACCATTTTTAATAAAACCATTAAAAACTTTTCCGAAAAAGCAACAAGTTCTATAAACAAATACAAAAGCGAAAAAAGTACAGTGTTTTTGTTTGCGTACTACTTTCCCAACTAGAGAAGAAGAAGGAAGCAGACGAACGACCAACGAAAACAAAAGCAACAAAAAAAGAGTAGTTGTGTGTACTAAAGAGTTTATACAACACTAACAAAAAAATTTACAAAATATAATTCCACCAAAAAAGACGAAAAAAAGCTGTACAAGCTTAAGCGGAGGGAGCTGTAATAGAAAACGCGTCGACTGTTTGGCAAATGGTGTTAGATGAACAGCAAAATACGCGCAATTATTATTTTAACAAAATATTGTAGTTGAATAAAGTTGAATTAAAAAGCCTTAAAGTAAACAAGACTGGCTGAATTGTGGGAGAAAATGGATGAGGCCTTGTACTCGGCCACTTATGTGGACAATTATATTGATTCAGTGGAGAATCTACCCGATGATGTGCAACGACATCTATCGCGTATACGGGATATCGATGTCCAATACAGAAGTAAGTAAACAATAGTGCCAGAAAGAAAATGGTGGATGGAATTGTTTGATTATTGTTTTACATCCATTTTTGAGGTTATTTTTAATAGTATTAAATTATTTAATTGTTGCTAATTTCATAGACCTCCTGCGTGATGTGGATCATTATTATGACCTGTGGAGATCTTTGCAAAATTGTGGTGAATCAAATTCGGGACGGCGAGCTCGTTCGGTAACACGCATGCAACAGAGCTTGATACAGGCTCAGGAATTGGGCGATGAGAAAATGCAGATTGTAACACAATTGCAGGAATTAATAGATCATAAGACACGCCAGCTGGATACGGATCAAAAGAATCTCGATATAAAAGAGGATAAAGAAGACATGCAAATGCAAATCGATGAGTGTGGAGGTGCGCCCACTTCGCAGAAACAAACGCGCACGCAAAGTCCCTCAAGGGCACTGGAGGGTAGTGCAGGAAATACCAATGGTAAGCTGTCTAAATACTTAGTAATTTAAAGTAAGTACTCATAAGGATATATATTTTGTTCACAGGTTATGGAGCCTCTAATTCTGCCTTAAACTCCACCGCTGGTGGTGGCAATTCTACACCCAATTCCGAACGTTCGGGTAATAGCAATGCCGGTGGTAATTCGAATGGCAATAGCAATTTGCCAGGCAATTTAGAAAATCAACGTGGCAACAGCAAACGCTCCAGACGCCGTAATGATACGGTCTGCAACATGGAATTGGGTGGCAATGAATCTAATTCTGCCAATGAGGGAGGCGGTAGCAATGGTGGTGATCGTAATCTAGCACAAAAATCCTCTAATATGGGTGGTGGTGCTCAGAAAAAGAATTCGGCACAAAATCAAGCGGGTTCTTCTGCTGGTTCGAGCAATATTGCTGGAGCTGGCTCAAGTTCGGGTAATGGTGGAGGAGCGAATGGTGGTGGTGCTGCTGCCAGTTCAAATGCTGGCAACAATAATTCGGGCAAAAAGAAGAAACGTAAGGCGCGTGGTGGCGGCGGTGGAGCTGCAGGAGGTGGTGGTGGTACTAACACTCAGTCATCGGCGACGGCTCAGGCTACACCGCGTGAAGATACACCGCCACCGGATCCAATCGATCCCGATGAACCGACCCTATTGTGTTTGTAATCAGGTGAGTATTCGGATTTAAAGATTTGCTTGAAATAAGGGGGTGTTCACCAGATATCCTAGGGGTATCGGTATTTAGGCAATATAAAACATAATCTAGTCTGGCTCTAACAGTATTCTGTACCTCATCATTTAGCTAGATAATAGATAGATAGATAGATAGATAGATAGATAGATAGATAGATAGATAGATCGATAGATAGATAGATAGATAGATAGTAGAAGATAGATAGATAGATAGATAGATAGATAGATAGATAGAATAGATAGATAGATAGATAGATGATAGATAGATCGATCGATAGATAGATAGATAGATAGATAGATAGGATAGATAGAGAGATAGGATAGAAGATAGATAGATAGATAGATAGATAGATAGATAGATCGATCGATAGATAGATTAGATAGATAGATGTATATGAGATAGCTCGATAGATAGTACTAGATAGATAGAGATGATAGATGATCGCTAGCTAGATGATCGATAGATAGATAGCTAGATAGCTGTCGATGCTGATGATAGCTGAGATAGTAGATAGTCGATGATCCCGTAGCTTCGCGATCTTTAATTCGTCGTATCCTTTTGTTCTCCCTTTCTCTTTTTCTTTCGCTCTCTTTTGTATTCTTCTCTTTTTGAATGCTCAATGTTGTGCCCCATTGAATGGTTCCACTTCTCTTGTGTATCATTG